ATTATTGAAATACGCGTAGGTGTGTAAATGCGAGTATGTATCTTTTATAATATTATATCGATTTTCTTGATACTTTTCATTTCGTTTATCGAATTAATTCGTAAAATGATGTTATAAGGTGAAATGAAACGTGATATATTCCTAACAACAACGTGAATTCGGTGATGAGAATATTTTATACTATGATATTGCAATTTTAAATTCAGTTACATTCAATAAATTGTTTTCAGATTTTACATCTCGTTAAATTCTTATATCTTTGATATATGCATAACAACAAAATATATATTATTATTTTATATATGTATATAAATTGTTTAATATTTTATATATATATAATTAAATTTTTTATATTTAATTATATAGATTATATTTTATATTTTTATATTTTAAATATATTATATTTTATATTTTTATATTTTAAATATATTATATTTTATATTTTTATATTTTAAATATATATTATATTTTATATTTTTATAATTTAAATATATTATATTTTATATGTAATATATTTACACTTAATATACATATATAATTTAAAAAAATATAATTTAATATATTATATTTTTTAAATATTATATATTTTAAAATATAATATTAAATTAATTATAATTTAAATATAAAAAATATATAATTTCTTATATTTAAATATTTATTTATATTATATATATATATATGTATAATATCATTTGGGACGATATGGAAGTTGTATAGTAAGATTGATAATAAAATAGGACCAAAAGAAAAAAGAAACTAAATAAATAAATAAATAAAAAAGGAAAATAAATACAGGTGAAAGAATAAAACGAGTAAGTAACACAATGCGTTCCATTTACGGCTTTAAACCTATCGGAAAGCGATATAGGAACGTTATTACGCGAACGTGGCTTTCCTCTAAAAGTGATTTCATTTCTTTCTTTTTTTATTATTTTTTATTTCCCTCTTTTGTTTATTCTCTCTCTCTCTCTCTCTCTCTCTCTCTCTTTATTTTTATTGATAAAGAAGTTATAAAGCTACATGTTTTTTCCCTTGAGATGACAAAATCGTTTTTATTCTCTTCTATTTTTCTTTTCCTTTTTCCATTTTCTTTTTTCGGACAACAAAAGATAGATGTTTTCTTACCATGAACCGTGCTATCTATGAAATATTTGGAATAGGAAAGAAATATAATAAATCAAGAGAATGCATCCCCAGTCGAAATTCTTTTCGAATCTTCCTTCCTATGATGCTTTTTTTTTCTTTCTTCCATTTTTTTCCCTTTCTTCTTTTTAAATATTCAGATATCATATATACTTCCTTTAAAATGCAACTTCATTCTTGTATACTTATGAATATATATTTATATATAGATATATATATACTCGTGTACTTACATATTTACTTATATATTACATATATGTATATACTTGCTGTGAACCCCCCCCCCATTCCACGTGCTGCTTTGACTATCTGATTAACTAGAAAATTTAAAAAAGTTAGATGAATGTTAGGTTATGTTCAAATGTTCCGCTCATTCAACGAAATCTATGTTCAACTGATCGCACTGGACTTACCCGTATCTTTTTCTTTTCTTTTAAATTAATTAWTTATTTTATAAATAAATTAATGTAATAAAAACCTAGCTGTATACAAATGCAACGTTGTGTCAAAATTTTAAGACAATTGATAAAATACTTTTACAGATTTTTTATTAGGTACAAACAAAATCTACATTTTTATAATGTAATAGATATATACATACATTTATATATATATAAAAGATAGTCAGAGACAAAAATCAGTACACATGAAAGTTTGATGATGAATATCTTTTGAACGCTTAATTTAATCGCCAAAACATAAGACATCATTTTTATAGAGCAGTTAATTTCCTACGAACATTTGTATTGTTCACTTTTTAATAGTCATTTATTGTCGAGTTATAAAATTCATAAACAAAAATGAAATTTGTCTAAAAACAAATCTCATCAAATTTATTTAAATCTTCAATATCATTTAAATGGTAAGGTTTACGGAAAAAATATAAGATACCTTTTTTGTAGAGCATTAAATTTTCTACAAAATTTGTCTAGAACATTTTTCTGTACAATCAATAAATAATGAGGTATGAATTTTAATCTATTAGACTGAAAAAAAATAAAAAACTGCGATGCGGAGGATCTTCCTATTAAAATTAAGAGCTCATATTTGGTGAGAATTGTTTTAAGATGTCTAGCAACCCATTTTTCCGTGGCACTTGAATAAAAAAATAAGTCATTTTTTTGACCCACTCTAATATATATAAATGTATATTATATATACACTGTATATTACATATACACAATGTATATTATATATACCTTATAAACATATGTATGCATCGTATATACGCATTTATTGTTTCGCATAGAATTTGATAACGTCAGAAAAGTTGAATGTAGCTTTACTACGGATTGAAACTATTCTTCCTGTTTTATAAAAACTTTATCTATTTCTGCGTTAGTAAAACGAGAACGTTTGTACGTAAAATGAATAGAAACGCGAAACACACAAATGTAAGAGAGACGGAACCGAATGAAGTCGGGCATTGTTTTGTACAGTTCGTTTTCTAGAAATAAAGAAGGTATAACAAAATAGGGAAGAAAAAAAAATAGAAAGATAAAAAAAGAGAAAAGACGAACATTTTATCGAATATTTCGTTGAATTCGCAATATATATATATATAAAACTCACCGCAAATAAAGCGACTATTTTTCGTGTAGGAATGTAACAAAAAATAGAAAAAAATGACCAAAGAAAAAGAAAAAAAAAGAAATTAAAAAAATATACAAAAATCGTTTACAATTAGTACGCGTATTGATTAATTATGATTGAAAAGAATTCGTGGGGTTTCTACTTTCAGTAATGCTTGAGGTTTTTTTTTTTTTAATTAAACATAAAGTTATTTAACTCATCGCAAATAAAGTGACTAGTTTCGTGTGGAAATGTAACAAACAAACAAAAAAGAAACAAAAATGACCAAAAAAATACAAAAATCGTTTAGTACTCCTATTGATTTATTATGATTGAAAAGAAAACTCGGTGATGGTTTCTCAACGTTTAGCAATGTGTTAGTTTTTAATTAAATATAATGTTATTCAAATTCGCAAATTGGCATTTTGAATTTTCTCGTTTTCACGACGTAATAACGACGATGAAAATTACGAAGAAATATAAATATAATATTGGTTAATCAAATTTTCCTTTTTCGTGAGAATACCTTCAACGTTATAAGTTTCAATGTATTATAATCAACGGTAATAAAGTTCACTGAGAATCGAATTTGTGGTTAATTAGTAGTTACGAACTCGGGGATAATGTGAGATAACGTGTTTCATCGATACGCTTATCTCGAGATGAAAAAAAGATAAAAGAAAATAAAAAACCCCGGTTTATTTGAAACGGTAAAAACGAGTCTTTTCTAAACGAAAACGTCCACTTTTTCAAATGACATAACGAATTCATTTTCTTTCTGTCGGAAAATGAAGAAGAAGAAGAAGAAGAAGAAAAAAGAAAACGAACAGAAACAGACGTACTGGAATTTAAAAAGCTACTACGTTCGTTAAAAGAGTGCTTAAGCATACTCAAAACTCTCAAGGGAAAATCTTCATCGGTTCTTTAATAATCTCGTGCCATTTGATTCCCATCTCTGCTACTTCCTGTTATGTAAAAAAAAAAAAAAAGAAACAAAAAATACAAAGTACTTTGATATAAGAAGTACAAATGTATATATATTATTTTTTATTTCAATTATTACATATAAAATAAATGCGCAGCGGTAAGAAAATAATTTTTTTTTTTTAATATTACGAGATTAGCTCTTGCATATCTAGAAAATTAAAGAAAATAAAAAGAAGAGAAAGAAATAAAGAGAAATGGAGAGAGAGAGAGAGATAGAGAGAAATGAAAGGAATCATTTTGACAAATTATATTATGAAGTAGCGTTCTGTCAACCAATTGACAGAAAAGTTTGTGCTTGCAATTCTCAGACACGACAGTTTATATAATTGAATTTTCCATTTTGTCTTTTTGTTGTTCTCTTTTTTACATTTTCTTGTGGGAACGTAAAATGTACTGTAAAGTAAAGTAAAATAACATTTGCGAAAATTAAACTTGCGTATAGGTATTTAACATAAATAAGTACATTGAGTTTCCTAGAAAGTTTGTGTTGATTTTTTCGAATACTTGCGATAATCTGACAACAAAAAAATGTTTAAACGAAAGTTCATCTGTTTTTGATTGACTATAAATTGCAATAAACAAAAAGTTTACAGATAATTTCTTTTTTTTTATGTTTTAAGGCTACTTTTGTTTTTTTACATAACACCCTATATTTTTGAGATTACTTTACAGCATTATAGCTCATATTAATACTTACATGTATGTATATAAAATATATAATATAGCGATCATATTTTATTACTTATTTTATTATATTTATATATATATCTTATAATATAAGATACAATATTATTTATAATTATATAAAAAATTATTATTATTTAAATATAATTTAAATATAATTTAAAATAAATTTGTATATAAAATTATATATATAACAAAAATTATATATTATTATATATAAGATATATATAATATATGTAAATATTATTATATATATATATTACATATATAAAATCTATAACATATAATTATATTATATATATAATTAATATAATAATATAATATAATAATATAGTATATATTATATAGTATATAGTATACTATAATATACTATAATATAATTACTATAATATATTAATACATAAATTAATATATAAATAATTAATTAATAAAAATAATATATAAATATTATATATATATATAGTATATTACTATTATATATACATATAAGTAAAAAGAATAACACATACTATTGCCTGGGAAAATGATATTTAAAAAAAAAATAGAATAAAAATAGTCAGTTAAATAGAAACAATTAAATACGATACCATTTCCAATATTTTCTCATTTTATAGATCTATGGACATAGTTGCTGTAACGATCGTCGGTTCGAGTGTCGTACGAAAAATGAAGTCGCATCAGTCACGATTTTCTTTGACTGGAATGTAGACGTCTACGATATATCGAATGGAAGAAGAAAGATAACGATCGTCGTGAAAGATAGTGTGAGAGAGAGAGAGTGTGAGAGAGAGTGAAAGAGAGAGAAAGAAAGTTAGAGTGATTGTTAAAGTGATCGATTACGTGAAACATCGTTCGAGTGGCGGCTATTCGGTCGCGCGTGTCAAACCAAATGTTTCCCAACGGTTTGCTGCTTGCAACCTTTTTACAAAACGTAAAAAAAGAAAACGAAAAGTGGAAAGTAATAATATCGGGATACTCTCGTGCATTTATTCAACGATAAAAAAAAAAAAAAAGAAAACAAACCAGATAAAGAAAAATAAGATAAAATACCCAGAAATAAAAAAAAACCGCTGGATTTTTAGAAATAAAATATTTTCTCGGTAACAATATTAATAAAAAGAAGAAGAAGAAAAAAAAAAGAGAAAAAATAAAAAAAAAAACAAACAAACAAGTGAGCAAAGTTACGTTCCAAGATAAATTATTGGCTGTGCGTTTATAACGTAAACGATAGTGTTCATCGGTGGTTGTATTGATATATATATATACATATATATACACACACACATATAAATATATATATATATATATATATGTATATATACCAAATACTAATATCGATTCGTTTTGAAGAGCCGAGAGTAGAAAAAAAAAAAAATAAAAAAACGAAGAGAGTGGGGAAATACGGAAAAAGAGAATTGTGAGTGTGTTTAAAAGAAAATTTTTAAACAAATAAGATTTAATATATAAAAATGTTTGCAAGAGGGTGTGATGATCTATTTGTAATCAAAATTAATATTTAACAATTCGCGTGTTTACTTTTATTTTTTATTTTACCGAAATCGATTCAATTATCGATTATCGATTGTTATATACATTGCAAAGTATGTGCATGTATATAATAAAAATAAATTAACGCACGTGTGATACGTAATTAATACTGTCAATATATTCGGCGCGTATTCAATTATCGTGCTGTTAAATGAGCAATAAACAAGTTTTAAGTCTTTCTATTCGTCTTCTTTAAAGTTTAAGAAAAATTAATAAAAAGAAGAAAAAAAAAGAAGAAGAAGAAGAAGAACGTGTTCGGTGATAAATCAAGAAAAAATTAACAACAGGTGTGTTCTTTCTTCGTTTAAACGACACAGTCTGGTTCTACTTATATTTTTGGAAATTACGATTTTGTGTGTGAAATAAAATTAAAAACAGAAAAAAAGAATAAAAAATAAAAAATAAAAAGAGGGGTGAATAGACGACAAGATGGCGTTCGCCGCGGCAAGAATGATCCTCAAGGACAAGCGGCGAAAGGCCAGCAAAGAAGACTTCGCACCTCGTAACAGAAGCAAGGTAAAGTCGTTAATTAAAAAACATATTAATTAATATCACTTATCCTATACACAATTATTATCTTATAGTTTAATTGCAAACTATAATTAATATATTGAATTATTTAGGTTATGTTTTTCATCGTCATTAAAGACAGACGAAGACTAATTTTTTTTTTATAGATGACGATGACGACACTGGTGGAATTTTTAAAAATTTAATAAAATGAAAAAAGTGAAAATGAAAAGAAAAAAGTAATATTCTAAAAATAACTTGATTTTATTTTCTAATTTTTTATTATACTATTATAGATATTTTAATATAAATTAAATATTTTTTTCACAATATTATTATTTAATATAATTAAATTATATTAAAATATATATTATATATAGTACATATATTAATACAATAAAAATTAAAATAAACTAAAAATAACTTAATTTATTCTTAAAATTAACTATTATGTTAATTTCATTAAAATAGATTATTTTATATACTATATTATATATATACTATAATATATATTTTTTAATTTATATTAAAATTTAATTTATTATATATATA